AAAAGTCATTCAAATTGAGTCATGATCCGATAAATTAGGGGTCTCTACAGTCGTTTCAGCATATATATTTGCAAAAATAAAATCAATCCAAGCCGATTTTGTTTCCATATCTCGGGTGGGCTTAATATCATTTCCAACTTTTAATTCAAACAATTTGAGAGTTTTTCTCAGATTGAACACTACGTTGTTTCTCTTCGTCCTGTTAAAGTTAAAAATACCGCTTAGTATATTCATTTTTTTGGTTGCTTTTTATTTAATTCTAAGTGCTCTGCAAGCAAATCAAGGAAATTTTCTGGTTTCATTTGTGCTGCTTTCTATAGTGTTGTAAGTATCAGATAGTTTTTTTTAGCGATTATGATTTCAACCGTCTGTAAGTAAACTTTATCCTTTTTCGTTCCCCTAAGCAAATTTGTCTCCCCTAAGCAAATAAGAAATTCTAGAAATAAGTGTGGCCCCTCCAATTTTTCTCCGCAATCTGTTAGTCAAAACTTTAGGGTGGTAATTTTCCAATGAAACTAGATCTGTCTCGGTGTTGTCGTTGAACCACGTCTCGTTGGCGTGTTCATGATGAACATACATAAGAACTCATCAAAATTTTGGTTAATTGATCTTAATTTCTGCAAAAAATGTTGTTAGATCTCATTTTTGATAGTGGTTTTGATTGTTGTTGCTTCAAGGTTTTGATTTTGCCAATTTATTGATTTTTTTTCTTTTTCTTTTCTTACTATCCTGTTATGTTTATTTAGATCAAAAGTCCTAACAAAAATGCATTGACAGGAAAAACATAAAACAAGCACGGTCGTTGAAATAAACGTATGTTAAGTGTCTGCTGTTCTGTTTATTTATTTGCCAAACAGAGACATCAAAGCCTTTAGCGAAGCAAAAAATCGCAATACCAAACTCTTGTACAGTAGGATCAAATATTATTTCCTGAGAACAAGGCTCATCAGAGAATTGTAAAGCTTTATTCCTAGAAGACACTTCTGAATTTTTTTCATAAGAGTCATTATTTGGAAACTCGTTCCGTTGTTGCATTAGTTTTTCCTTTATTCAGATAACCTGATATACTGATAACCTGGACTTCTTTCGAACTAAAGCTGAAATGGTTCAGCAGAAAAACGCAAGCCAGTCTTCAACTCTAGTTCCTTGTTTTTAGGTTCCTGCTTTACATCATTAAGGATAGGCGAAGCAGATAGTCGCACCACTTTTGATTTATTTACTCAATTTTCCGATGAGAGTTTTATTTAACCGATGAAAAACAAAGGACAAACTTTAAGCAGAGGACTTTTGTTTTCGCATGCTACTTTCTAACACGAGGAGAGCCATTAGATGCTTGAAATCGCATCCCTCAGCTCCACTGTTTATTTTCTGTATCCAAGTAATCTGCTTAAACGGATAAGAAATGGAAAGTTTTGATTTTTCCAAAGGTTTGATTGTGAAAAACAAACTAAATTTTCATTCGAAAACGCTGCCCGTTCCAAAATTATCCAGAAACGTCAAATCTAGCCTCGAAAGAAAAGTTTGTTTCCTTTTTTTTCAGTTTTAAATCTTTTGAAAATTCATTAGAAGAAGACAATTACGCCATGGCATTTTTGCCGTGAAGAAAATGTTCAAAAACAAATTAGAGACGCCAGCTCAATATTAGACGAACAAATTACAAAAAATTTTATGTGTCAAAAACAGTGTATGTTTGCTCTATGTATCTGAACATAAAAACTTTTGTTGATATAGAAACCAATTTATCAAAAGTTAGCGGTGTCAGTTTTTCCAGTTCACATTAGTGTGTTTTCACTTCCCCATTGCATGCTTCCTTTGATCCGGCGATAAACTTGCGTAGAGACGGTTGATACGTTCTCCATCTATTATTACTTCAGCAGGCTTTTTTAGTTAGTAACATGCTGCTTCTCCATTGATCTATTATCAATTTTTATCGGGTTTTTAGGTTTTTGAAATCGCTCCTTATTCCATAGTGGCTTTAATGTGAGTACCGGTCATCTTTATTGTAATTAACTGTTAGTACTTAGACCATAATTTCGACAAAGATGTTCTTTTCTTTCTAAATTCTAGTCTGTCATTTCAAAATTAACTGATAAAATTGCAAAAAAAGGTCGAATTATTGAAACAACAGAAACGGTTTGATAGCAAATGCCAACAAAATCCTTAATTACCTTGCTTCAATATTTACTTTTATCCCATAAATTGTGCAAAAATACTTTCTACAAACTGAGAACTGAGCCTTTGCTGCGAACTGAGCCTGTGCTAAGAACTGAGCGTTTAAATTCACGTTTTTCATAACCAAACTAAAATTCTTTGCCGCACTGCAAGTAAAAAAAAACTCAATTATCAGAACTGAGAACAGGTTTTGTAAATTATCTGTAACTAATCTTTCTGAAAAACGGATAGTTTTTGCAAAAGCATTGAGGTTACCGATAACGCTCCTCGTGAAAACAATTGCATGCATATTTTCCAAAACATGCACGCGTTTAAAGAATAGGTGTCAAAATAGTTGTTTCTGACCGGATCGAAGGTGAAGGAACTTGAGTACTCTGTCGATTATTGTTTCTTTTTTTTGTCAAGGATATACAAAAATCGATTTGCGATCAATTGATGTACTGTGGTATCGTATACAGGCACGGTTATATGAGTCATCTCTATCTTCAAATGACGCTATCAGGCATTTACGAAAATCTTTACACAAGTTTTATGTATTTTTCTGCTGAAAATTAGTCATACTTAAATGTATCGAGAACCGAATTTGTAGATCTTAACAAAAAATTGATAAATTTATTGTGGAGACCATCATTTTAGCAACAGATATGGTTTGACAAAAACTGCCCAATATATCCTTGATTGCTTTGCTTAACTGTTTTTTTATCCCATCAATTATGTCTGTATCAGTACCTTAGTATTGAAATGTTAGCTTTTGCAAATTTGTCGAAGATACAGATTGCGCTTTTTAAAAAATACTCATCTACAAAAAGTTGTCACCATCGCTCCAAACTTAAAGAGAAAAAATGTAGAAAAAATTTCTTCGATGAAGAGAATCCAGGACAGCCCAGTTTGTACACATAGAAATACAAGGCTTGAACTCGGTTTTCATGCTTGGTTTATATTCATTCATAATCATATTATTTACCTATATTGTTAAGAATGAAGTGTTCTAACAAAAGTAAAAACTTTTATGAGTGTTTTTGAGTCTAAGTTGATGATGATTTCATCAATTCTTAATGATTTCATTTCTTTCACCTTACGCAGAGCAGTATCATTGAAGCGACTAATCTGAAAAATAGAAAATACTGTTTAATACACTTTCTTGTAATGATGCAAAAACATTTAAGGTGTAATTGAGGTGTAATTTTCTTCTTCTTCTTCTTCTTCTTCTGTTGACAACTTTGCAGAATAAACCTTTGAGAGTAACCCTGATTTTGAAACAAAACGATGATAAATATATTGTCTTAACGTGTATCAACGATTGAAAAATGATTATGTTAACCTCTTTTACCAATTTGAGTTGAAGTTATCAATTTTTCTTGATTTTTAAAAACACGATTCAAGATTGCTTTTTTCTAAGCATTTTTAAACAAAAAATGATAATCGGCATTTTTTGACACTGTTTTACTGCATGTAATGTGTATTAGAAGAAAATAAAAACATATGCATTCTGCAAAAAAAATCCAGTATTTTCTACAAATTCTCATCCGGTATGCAAAGACTAAAAATTTCTACAACATTAAGGTTTTCTAACCTACAGATTCTTCCGCTAAAATCTCCAAAAAACTTACGTATTTTCCGTAATCTAGTTGCTACTGACTACTCTAGTTTCAAAGAAAAGAGAATTTGACCAAAAAAGTATTGGTTCTTCTCTACTTTATAAATGTTTTCCTTTTGTTAATTAATTCCAGTTGTTGTATCTTCCACAATTGATTCTATGTCTTGTAGAGTTTTCTTCAATCTTGACTCGCAAACTACTAAAACGCTTTCATCTGTTTTAAAATTGCTTCTGTGTTTTAGTTTTAGGAACCACAAACAACTTTTGAATATAGTTACGTCATAAATCAAATTACAAACTTGTATTTTGTAATTCAACCTCTTGCGTGTATTTTAAAAAATTATTTAATTTGAACCGATTTGAAATTTTTTTAAATTGAATATATTTTTTGATGAGTTTTTATCCATTTTTGAGCAAATTAAGCGAGCGAGTTGGTCCCATAATGTTCATATATTAGTTAAATTCCAATTTGAACTGTGAAAGCTTAGTTCTTTGTAAAGCCTTGCAATTTTTTTTACTGGTGCTGTCGAATATACTATTGTCGAATATACATAGTTTACTGTGGCTATCAAAACTGTTGAACTTCTAAGCTTAGTTCAGATCTTACGACCACGCCAGAAAATAAAAAACAAAACTTTTTGAAAAAAAAAGTTTATTATTCAAGTTTTTTTTATATAATGGTCGGAACATTCTATGCTCCCTGAACAGCAACCGGCTGTCCTTGTTTTTTATTCAATGTTGAGGTGTGAAAATTTAAATTTTTTTCAGAATAAATCCTTGAAATTTTTTTGTTTAATCTTTTTTGTTCAAGTTTTGCGGATATTTCCTGTCAAATATAACTAAAAAGTCGAATATATCTTTTTTTATTTTTTTTATAACGATCGGATCTTTCTTTTCTACCTGCACAGCAACCAGCTATCCTTGTTTTTAATATCTTTCTAAAGCGTCAAATGTACACGAATCAAATTTTAACTTAATATTTGATAAATTGGCAGTGCAAAAAAATTTGTCTCGAGGGCAGTTTAAGGGCAGTCGACTTTTTCAGGGCTTTGCCGTGATAAACGAGCAGTGTTGTTTTTGAAATAGCAATTTGACAAAACAGTTCTGAACGTTTCAACTGTTGCATCATTCAAACCATATTTTTATTGGTTGTTCAACGTTTTTATTATAGGATTGATAATAAAACGTCTTTGTCCGACAGTTATTGCAAAGTTAAGGAATATTTACTTACAGAGGTAAGTGAAATCATTTTCCACAAATGCTCCTGATAAAGTCGAATAGGAGACATCATCCACGCTAACTGCCAGGAAGCATTTGTCCACTAAAAGCCTCACTTTTTGAAAAGTCCTTGTTGACGACGCAATTGGTTGATCTGTAGAGTAGATACTGCCACCCCAGTGAGAATAAGTGGTATATGCAGATGCCAAGTTCATATACGTCTTGGTGGGGGCTCCATTTTGGCCCCAGTCACAAAATACTCGCAGCGGGTACCCGCGTACTTGAATTGTGTAGTCATTCGATGTGGCTAAAAAATAAATACTGGACTATTTCTGGATCATTTATATTGGGCAAAAACTTCGAGCAGGTCAATGACAACTGTATATAGCGGGCTGAGGTGCTCGACTCATGACTTGACCGAAACGGTCGAACGACGTTCGATTTTTGTCGCAAATTAAGACTGTCGAACAAAGGTTATAGTCGAGCAGTTCAAACAGGATCGAATCAAAGGCCAAATAGGGTCGGATCATGGGTAGAACAGGGTCGAATGGGGTCGAATCTTATGTCAAACGGGTCAAAACATTGGTTAAAAAGGGTTAAACCATTAGTCAAACGGGGTCAATCATGAATCATATAGAGTCGAATCATGAGCGGAATTGAAGAAAAATAAATTTTTTGACGTTTGTTTTTGTTTGCAAGACTGTAAACTGATGCAAAATTGCACAAAATCCAGCAGATATGTTTTTTCAAGGGGCTGTGTATAAAGTGCGGTGTTTTTTGATTCGATTGATTCATATCAAAGTGGATGTTTCAAATTCCTCGACCGAAAATATCTATAGCGTTTGAATTCACACAATTCTAAAGTTTCTCACAAGACTGCTATGTACACTACTTAGACGGATTGCAAGGGAATGACTCAAGACTGCTCAAACTAGGGCGAAGCCCTGACCATTTCAACTGCTCAGCATTGTAATCAATCATTAAGCTCCGAAAACATCTGTTATAAAAAGTTGATGAAGTTTCCAACAAATAATTGAAATTGTTTCGGAAAATTTTGATAATTTTCCCCTGTACACGCACTATCAAGTATATTGTGATATTCATAGCAAATAGTAATGCATTATTTACACCAAATACTATGCCGCATTGTTTTTGGAATCTTCAGGGCTTCGCTCAGGCATACGATCAGTTTTGTTGTTCCGAATTTCGTAACGAAACCAACGGAATGTTTGTGCTTGGGGTGTGTTTTTTTTTCAGACAACTTTCGACTTTTTAACTAGACATTTTTAACAAGATTTTTCAATATCATTCGAAAGGTTTTATTGTCTTGAGCCTAAATTTGAAAAGATATTTTACCTATGATCATTTTTCGTAAAGTTATGGTGGTTTAAAGATTGCCATTTTGGCCAGTTTGGGACAATTAACGCGCGATATATTTCTCGCTATTTACGCGTAAGCGGAGGTTTAATCAGTCTTAGAAATCGTTCTAAAATTGTTGAATGAAGTTTGTTGGCCATAAATGATAGCGTGTGGGGGGATGAATTTTGCAAAAAAGCACAAATTGAAAAACATCGTTGTTACTTTTAACTTTTTCGTATTTTTACTGCTCTATAAATCTTGAGAGGCAGTCGGAACATTCAGGGCCTTGCCCTGATACGAGCAGTCTTGTTCCGTTTCTAAACGACTTATAAGTGGGTTTTATAGCCCCTTACGCGTTAATAGCAAGAAATATTACACGCGCTCATTGTCAAAAGTTGGTCAATTTGGCAAAAGTTAAACAATACATTTCGAACTCCCTTAACATATTTGTCAAAAATGGCTGGTTAAAAATTAGAAATGGTCTCAAGAAACAATGAACTTTTTTTGATGAAAATTGTTTGACCATTAACTGTAATAGCAAGAAATATTACACGCGCTCATTGTCACACGTTGGTCAATTTGGTAAAAGTTAAACAATACATTTCGAACTCCCTTAACATATTTGTCAAAAATGGCTGGTTAAAAATTAGAAATGGTCTCAAGAAAGAATGAACTTGTTTTGATGAAAATTATTTAATCAGCCTATCTTTTATACTAATTATATCAGACTAACTTTCAATTTTTTTTATCAGCATGATTTATCAGCCCCACTGCTTTTGGATGAGATTTGATAGAAAAAAAATTTTACAGGAAATTAAAAATGATTGAGTATACAAGCATTCAGGAGAGTATTCGGGCCGGACAAAGACTCTTTGTTGAATGAAAAACTGCTTCAATTAATGACCTTTTTCCGAAAAAAAATGCGTAAATTTAAAATCAGACATTTGACTTAGATATATGGCTAGGATTATTCAGACTAATTTGGAAATTTAAACTTTTTTATGGATTTTATAATGCAGATTTCTAATGAATGTGCTATGCATTACCTTAAACGCTCTTCATTCAGCGTCAACTCCTGGAGATTTGTTCCATATCATGATTTCTCAAAATGATTGAGGTCTGAAATCAGCCTGTTAGGAAAATTCGTGATAAACAGTGGGCATTGTTTACCAGTTTTTCTTTACGCGTACCATTGTTGACAAGTTAATCAATCTTGCTCGTTTATAATGGTTTGATTTAAAAAAAAAATGTCCAATTTTTTTGTAATCGAATAAAAATTACAGTTTCGGTTTCAATAAAAGTGGCGGAACACATGTTCTTAGAATGTTTTTTTCTCCAATCAAATTTTATTATTTTTTAAATTGTCTTAACCTATATCCGTTTTTTTAATGTATCATCAGTGGCAATATAAACGATTATGGGCAGCCTATAAGAAGTAAATCAAAATTTAAGCTACAATGAGTAAAACGGCGACCGACCGATTTGCAAGGATTTATATTAACATGCCCCAGTAGAAGAATGCAGTCGTCTCGCCGGTTATTTCGACACTTGTTTACTGTAATTCGTCTATTCAAATAGCGTGCACTTTGCGGAAAGTTTGTAGAGGTGATATATATTATAAATTCAAAGATCATTTCAGGCTAATTTAATTTTCAACTGAATGAAAAAAGTATGAAAGCGTAAAGGTAAAATAATGAGCATTTTTAGAAATGGTATGAAAATTGTATGACGAGAATTTTTCCACACATTTGATGTATGGAATTGTATGATAAGCAGTTTCGGAGTATGGAGGTCAACCCGGGCTTATAATTTTGGCGAGAGTAAATGCTTCTATTCGAGCATGAGCTATAAGGCAATTTGTAACGAGAACACGACGAAAAAGCAGCTTTTTAAGGTGCAATAAGAAAAGTAGAAACAAGCCTCGATTCTCAAAAAAGCTGCTACAAAAAAAGTTAGGTTAGGAAAAAAGGTTCTTAATATTACACTCAGCTGACCCTAGTGAAAAAATTAAGGAAAAACTATCTGGTTTGACAATCACCGCTAGTCTAACAACTCTCATACAATTTACTTACAATTAGCAAATTGAATGAAAGTTTGATGAATAGTATTTTTGTTCCGAATTTCGAATAAAAAAATGAAAAAATCCTTGTACACAGGATGGTTTTTTTCCCTCCAGACAATATCAGACTTTAGCCGTTTTTGACGGAATTGTTATAATATCATCTGAAAACTCTTGATTTTCTGGGCTTAAACATTATATGATTTTGGCTAAGGTGACAAATTTTTGCAAAGTGTTTGAGATTGTTTTTTTTCTAAACGCTACTTTGAACACCTTCCCAAAGTTTCGATCTTGGAAAATCTGACATGTAAATCTTGTCAAGATCTTGGCAAGATAGCCATGTTTCATGGATAATCCAAAATCAGCAATAATCTTGGCAAGATTTACCAAGAACGAAACACTGGGTTAAATGACAGTCGGAACTTTCCCAACTTCGCGAATTTTAATAGCAGTATTGTTCCCTTTTGACATTAACACAAGTCCGTCGATGATTATAAAAACTCTTTTAACCAGTTGCTTTTGTTTTGTTCACCTTTTTAAGTTGTCTCTTGATTTTAAACTAGCTCAATGCGTTCAAACTTTTGTGCTTCTAATATAACAAAACAAACTCGTTAGAGCCTCTTTCTCTGCATATTAAAATCCATACGTGTTTGTCCCAGTCTATTGTGTTCTATCTGGCAGTCCGTGGTTTCCCCGTCAATGACCTCTTTGACCCAGTACCACCTCTCAGAAGAAGTGGAAGAGTAGGACGGGAAGTTAGTACAGTCCAGGTTGTTGATTGCCTCGGGCTCATAACCCACACCAAACTTACTATATCCTTTGCACAGTTTCGTCTCACTCTAAAGAATCAAAAATAAATTAGCCGTCTATGTGCCTTGGTCTGGAAATTCGCGCCGCTTCAACCTTGGTCGCGACAGCAAGTCCGAATCCAGCCCCAAAGTCGCGCCGATAGTTCGAGTCTCGAAAGTCCGGACATTCTTGAAAGTCTGTAAATAGTGTGTCCAGGTTTTCGCGACCCATGTCCAGACTTTTCGGACCAAATTTGGTAAACTAGACTTTGGCGACCCATGTCCAGGATGCGGTGCAACCCACAAAGTCTGGACTTGAGTCTGGGTCCTCCACCCGGGTAGTTACCAACGAAACAACAAATATAATTGAACCTCAAAAAAAACTACAAAAAAAAACAATTAAGTTTTAGTGAGGTAACTCTTAAGGGGAACGTTGGATAAAAAGTTCAATATAAATTAAAATTTAATTGCGATTAATTTACAGTTTGTCACTTGAAAACAAAATTAAGTTGAAAAAAGTTTAACGGAAGAAAATACATACGCAATAGTTGACAGCCTCGCAAGCTTGAACTCCTATACAATACACAACGCATGAGTCTATATCATATGCGTAGTACGCAAATACAGGCTCCGCGTCGTATGCTTTCAAACATGGACACTCTTCCCGAAAGAGGGAGAGATCAAGTTGGGTCGACGCATCAGTAGCTGTGGAAAACACAAAAGAGAGCAAAAAATAAAGCGCTAAATGCATTTTGTCGCTTTAAACCAATTCAATTCGGGCGTCAATCTGAAGGAAAAGCTTTAATTCGTTCAAATCAAATGATATTTTTCTGCATATCTGTAAGCTCTCATATAAAATAAATTCATCAAAAAAAGAAAAATGAAATTTTTATGGCATTTTGAGTCAGATTTTGATAAAAAACAAGACTTCTTAAATTTTTTATCATCAGGCGCGGTTGTGCTTTTGCCTATTTGCCTACTTGTCAGCGGAAACGTGTCGACCGGCAGAAAATGAAATTCTGAATAATCATGATATTCTTTAATGCAGATGATGAAAAAAATTGTGTCCCTTCAGAAGTTGGAATTCTTGGCAGCTGATTCCGGTTGTCAGGCTGATTTTTTTTTCCTGCAGGTGTTCATTAATGAAAAATACTATTGAATGCAAACTTGTTATCTATCTATACTATATTTGAATGCGCATGACATGTATCTCACGTGTTTCAGCCCATTAACTTCTGCATGTTTAAAGAAAGAATGTTTGCACGTTTAGCTATAGGGTATATTGAAAAGCTTAGAGTTTTTTTTCTATTTTTCAGTCTATAAATGCTAGATAAATGGAAAGGCACAAATGTGAGGCCATAATTTTTTGCCAGCATGGGAAGGGTTGAGGAAGGCAGCGCAGTATAATATAATGTAAAGGCTGGACTCATCCATCTATACGTCGATCTTACTTACGTAACGGTAGTTTTTCGTTGCAACGTTTAGTTTACTTCGTCAAGTTCGAAAGAAGCAACCCTCAACTTTATCTGTTTTTTTATCTATCTTTTTTTATCTATCTATTTTTTCAGCTATCAATCTTTATGTTCTACCTATTTTTTATCTATCTTTTTTATCTATCTTTTTTGAGGGAGAGAGAGTGAGAGATAGATAGACAGAGAGCTGGAGACAGGGATAAGGAAGGGAAGGAAGGTGGTGGAAGACGGCAAACATTTTTGCTTGATACTCTCAATCTTAATCTTTCTTATCTATCTTTTTATCCATTTTTTTCCATATTTCTTTCTTTTTTATTTATATTTTTTCTATGATTTTTCTATATATTTTCATTGATCTTTTTATCTATATGTTTTGTTTTATCTTTTAAACCATCTTTTTATCAATCCTTTTTTACTTATCTTTTTTTTCTATCAATTCTTTTATCGATCTATTTTTTGTTAGCTATGTTGTTTATATATCTATTTTTTCGATCTATATATCTTTTCTCATTTATTTATCTTTTTTATCTACTTTTTTAAAACTCTATCTTTTTTATCTATCTAATTTTTTAATCTATTTGTCTTTTTTATCTATCTATCTTTTATTCTATCTATCTTTTTTATCTATCTTTTTTATCTATCTTTTTTATCTACCGTTTTTTTTCTTATCTTTTTTAAAAAATTTTAATTGAAAAGAGAGTGAGAGAGAGAGAGAGAGAGAGAGAGAGAGAGACAGGGAGGGATGGATGGATGGAGTGATGGAGGAAGAAAAGGAGGGTGGTGGAGAGGGAGGGGTAGATACTTTTGCTTTGATTCTCTCAACATTAATGCTTCTTATTTGGTTCAACTTATTCGACTCCTGCGTAAACTTATTCACGAGGTCGTACCCACAAAATCTTTAAAGATCAGGAGTATTTTGGCGTTCAAGTTAGGTCTGTCTGTCTGTATACTTGCTTTAAGCAATTTGAGTGCGTCTGTCTATAGTTTGAATTAACATACCCTTCTCGTAATTTTTTAAGTATTAATTTAGATTCCACGATCCATTTGAAATTAAGACTACTGCCAAATGGTTGTCTCTTTTTTGTAAATTTTTCTATCTTTTGTTTCTAGCTTTTTTTATCGGTCTTTTTTAAAAGTTTTTTATCTATCTTTTAATACTTTTTTCTATTTTGTGTTGATCATTTTTGTATCGGAATACGTGCTCTTTTCTCAACAACCATCAATGCTAAATCAAAGATAGTTTTCAGTTACGTTAGTATGACACAACGATAATTTATCTACAAGTCACTTTCATGAAAAAAAAACTGTCGTTCCAAAAAGATACCGTTAGAGATTGTAAATTTTGCACGAGACATAAATTGCAAATCCTCTTCGTGTTCGCATTTAACAAAATTTGGGAGATCCAAATTAAAATAATCTCATTCCCTAACGATCTTAATTACTGCTTGTTCAACTTGTTTGGACGAAACTCAACGCTGTGCACGGTTCGTTCGAGTATTTCGCCTTTGAAAATTGTTGTTGCAGATGTTTCTCTTGACTTCGTTTGATATGAAGCCTTATAATCATGTTGTTTTTAGTGTGGGTCTTTAGTTTCTATGTTTATGAATAGGCAAATAAACTGTTGATTTTTTGGCATTCCATCTTGTTTTCAATTTGTATCAATCAAAAAGTTGTCTTTCTACTCTCTCCGACCGGTGAATTGGCACTCTTCCGAATTACTGATGCTACTGCACTTCAGTTGAACCGCTGGTATTTTTTGCCCAAAAATGTAAAAATTTCATGAAATAAGTTTGAATGTAATACAAAAGAAAGAAAGAAAGAAAGAAAGAAAGAAAGAAAGAATATATTTTTCCTTTTATAAACAATATATCGGCATAATTAAATTTGCCACATTTAAAGCAGGAACGGATAGACAACGGGACCTGTTGGTCTACTAAAAGTCTACCCTTCTATTCAAATGAAACATCTCTAATGAAACAAATCAAATTAAACAATACGAGCAAATAAATTTTTATTTAAATACAAAAGCTACAGCTCGTGAAAAAAAAATTTAAATCTATTTATAAAATTATGTTGACAATAACTAACTACTGAACTTAACAGTACTAAACTTAACAATACTTCCAGGGCGCTGTAATATTATATGTATCATTTTTTTTCAAGTTTTTCAAAAAAAATTAGTGAGAAAAATCCAAAAAAATCAAAAAACCTCGATATCTCGAAAACTAGAAGGATTTGGGAGGTCACTTTTTTACACAAAAAAGCTGATATATAGCTGGTAGTCCTGTAGCATGCAACCAACGGGTATGGGTTTTTATTTTTTTTTATATAAGCCAAATATATGTTTCACTAATTCATGGTTTTGTACCAGGTATATTTTCAAAGAATGGTAAATTGCCGAAATTTCTGAAAAAGAACAATTTTTGACGTGTGCAGGTATCAAGTTCAGAACTCGCAGCTTATTAAAAAGTTTACAAGCGTGATATCGAATCGAGAAGCGCTCAATTTTGCGTTTACAAAATGGTTCGAACAGAAGGCTGCTATCAGATTTTCTAGTAGCTATTTTGCATTTTGAAAAACAAATAAATCATTCAGAAAGCTATCATTATGAACACCAATAACTGATATAAGAAAAAACTTTAATAGCTCATAGAGATGATACTCATAAACGGTTAACAAACTATATTTTTCAAAAATATCATTACTACGAAAAAAATGAATTTGAGGATTTTCTTTTGTAAAACATTAAGCTGTTCCGGCTGCGAATAGCTGCAACATCCAAAAATTAAAATGCCATACTGGAGAATGGGAACGACATTGCTACTGTAGTATTCGATCATTTGAGACCTCGGCACGTAGTGCCATAGCTTTGAAACTATACCGCATTGTTTACTAAGTTTCTTTTTGACAAAATTGATATAACTTTTAAAAGAAAATTTGGAGTCTATGTAAATGCCTAAACATTTACAAACAGGTTTCGTATTTAACGAGCAAGAGTTTAACTGAAATAAATGATTGGAAGCACTTAACTTTACATTCATTTGAACTGTTTTGGATAGGTTAATCACCAATTTATTTGCATGTAGCCAGTTATTTAAAGATGTCATGTCTTTTGGAACGTCAATTATTTGACAACCTATTGATGTTAGATTCGTATCGTCTGCGAATAGCAAAACTTCCGATGTTTCGCATGCTTTAGGGAGGTCATTTATATATAATAGAAAAAGCAAGGGAAGTAAAATTGAGCCTTGTGGTACACCACATTCTATTTTACTACAGCTAGATGAAACACCATTTACCACAACTCGCTGTATGCGATTACTGAGACATGAGCTCAACCATTTTAAACAGTTACCCCTAAACCCATACATATCCAATTTGTATAGCAAGATATTATGGTCAAAAGTGACAAAAGCTTTCTTCAAGTCAAGGAAAAAACTAAAACTTTCATTCGAAGAAGGATACATTCTTATTCTTTCTGTAAGTTCAGCAAGTGCATCAATTGTGCTATGCTTATTACGAAAACCAAATTGTTTTGCATAAAAGAGAGAAAAATTCTCTAAATAGGAATAAATACGGTTATACTTAATGCGCTCATAGATTTTACTCCAAACAATTAAAAGTCAAATTGTTCTATAATTGTTCTCATCAAGTTTTGATCCATCTTTTTGAAGCGGAAGTATTTTCGCTTTACAAAGTTCTTTAGGAAACACGCCTTTTGTGAATGATAAGTTGATTAAGAAGCTTAGACATGGTGCCACGACTTTCGCTGAAGTTTTCACAATAAGGTTACTGATGTTATCATCACCGGACGAGCTTTTATTATCTAGGTAATTTAGGACTTTAAAAACTTCTGTTTCGCATGTTTTTTTCAGAAACATGGAATATGGAACATATTCAACGTTAAACCTATCAACATTAGGAACATCATTTTGAAGTCCTTTTCCAACTGTGGTGAAAAAATAGTTAAATTTATCAGCAACATCTCTGTCTGTTGCATTATCGTTTTCGTCAATGAAATGATTGTAATGGAGGAATCTTGCTGTTTTTGTTACTTTACCACTGATATCGTTTAAAATTTTATATATCTGCCTTGAGTCTCCTATACAGTTTTTGAATTTATTCCAATAATAAATCTTTTTAGATAATTTTATTTCTTTCTCAAAACGATCTCTTAAACTTCTGAACGTTTGAAGCAGTTGATAATTATTCTGATTCAACTTCCATTTTTTGTGTGCATTATTTCGCTTTGTTCTAAGGTTTTTAGGTTTATTTGTGTACCAGGCGGGTTGCTTTGTGACCAAATTTTTCTCGGTTTTCAATGAAGCAAACATATTCAACACCTCTTCGAAAGATTTTGCGAACAAATTGAAAGCTGCATCTGCATCATTCATTTCACAAACTACTAATTTATGTGAGGCCAATTTACTTTCCGCAATTTTTAAAAATTCTTCAACTTGGCTCCGACTTTTTAGGAATGATGTATCGCGAAACGGAATTTCTCTATTACCAATTTGACACTTTATGACCCATTCCAAGTGTATTGGATAATGATCTGATAAATGTTCACTATTTAGTACCATTGAATGAGGTTCAGTTAAATTGTCGAAAATGAAATGATCCAAACAAGTTGAATAGGTGGCTGTAACGCGAGTTGGTTCACGACCGTTTATCGAAAAACCGTTTGAATGAATACAATTTAAATAATTTTGGCTCAGTAAATTATCAGGTATTATATCAATGTTAAGATCACCACAAAGAATGAACGGATGATTTGCACTTTTTGAATTTTCCAAAAACTCATCAAGCCTATCAATGAATTGCATTTTGTTTGATTTTGGTGGGTTATAAATCACACATAATGAGAATTTATAGCCATTTTTTAGGATATCGACCGTTAAGCTTTCTTCTGAAAATGAATAAAGTTGATTCAGCAAGCAGCATGTGTTTCTTGCTTGGATCATTACACCACCACCTGGTGTTTCGCGATTTTTTGTAAAATACTGATTATAACCATTGATTAACCAACTTTCACTTGGATCATTTTTTGTTAACCAAGTTTCCGTTATACAAATTATATCAGGTGGAGACTCAAGGCTTAGAATAAGTGCTTCCAATTTGTCGAAGTGCGATTTTAAAGATCTTATATTTAAATGTAGCACCGAAACTTTGGAATTTTCAGTTTTATTAATTAAAGTACTGTTATTCTGTGAAATATTTGATTTTGAATTAACAACTTTAACATCACTAGATTGTTTACGATCATCCTTTATCTCCTGCCTCGTGGAAAACACTTTGGAAGCAATTCATTACATCTTGAAATCTGTATTTCAAATAACTCCCGCATTCATAAAGTCCATCGATACGATATAGTCGCTCGTCTGCCTTCCATATATAATGGATTACACCTTCTCGGGTCCACGCAGATTTAATTCGGCAATCACTCTTCATCATTTTTATGAAATTGACACGAGCCTTTGATAAGTCTTCAAAGACGCTTATATTTTTCAAACCTTCTTTATCTGCCATCTTTTTTTCGTTTCGCAGCAAGTTGATTTTGGCGATTCTTCTGGCGAAACGAATGATAATTGGTTTGTCTCTATTTGATCGAGATGGCAATCGATGAGCTATTGAGATATCTGACGCTCGCACATTTGCACCAATATCATGAGAAATCTCCACTACCTTCGCTATTGTTGTATCAAAGTTCTCACGATTATTCTCCCCTTCCCAACACTCGGGGATTCCTAGAATTCTTAGGATATCTCGTCGATTATATGATTCAAGTTTTTCTGCTTCAGATAAAGTCCTAAGATAGCTGACATTCGTCTGAGATCCTTTCCATTTTGGAGGATGAGATGATTTCCTTCTTCATGTTGTTTATTGCGGACTCAACAGCGACGTTGATTGCAGTCATTAGTTGCTCTTTGATTTGCTCTACAAGGCTGGGTATCAACAACTTCATTAACTCTTCAATGGTATGCTTTAGCTTCCCAGTCACATCGTCCTCTGAATTTTCTTCGTCACATGGGCTCAGTACAATATTTGGCCGTTTTGGTGTTGGTTTTGATACTGGAGTCTGATCATGATACCTCAGTCCCGGCACATCTGTGTTTTTCTCAATTGAAATATCATTTGCATCAGTAGCATCACTAATCGAATCCATCTGCCCTCTCTGAAACTATTTAATAAGTTTATCACAACAATTAGGCTAACCCTATACACAAAGGTAATCACAATTAATAAGTAGGTGATAAATTACAAGTACAAAGCAAAAATACGTATGTATATACTATGCATTTCAAAATTTTCGCTGACAATTTTGAGACAGAAAACTTCAAAGAGGAGCCCTTGTGATTTTAATGATGTACAAAACAAATAGTTTTCTTTGATTCGTTTGATGATTTAAAAAACTTTAACATGTTAAATTCTGAATTATTTAAAATCATCGCAAATGATATTATATAGCCAAAATTTAGTATGCCATAAAAAGCGTTTAAAATGTAGCAGTACTATTTGCGACTTCGGTTGCGCGTGAACAATTTTTGGGGTTTTTCCAGAAAAAAAGTAACAAAAAAAAATTCATCGATAGAGCGTTTGAAGAGAAAACATTCCTTCACCAAAAATGTATTATTTGGAGTCATAACTTTTTGACCATCCAAGTGGTAGTTTCTAAGCCCCCTTTTGAAAAAAACTAGATATTCAAAGCGCTCTTAATAGGCGTTGGTTGCGCCTTGTCGATGAGTGTATTTCAAACTTTGTGCAATTTTACAAGAAATGCTTTTCCAAGTAGAATCACAAAAAGAGTTACCGCTATTGGTATTTTCAAAACAATGCGAGTATTGATTGCTCGAAGGGATCTCTGCGACGTTGTCTGGGGACGCAAAATCGTTTTTCAATGAGCAATCAATGCTAAACATAACAGAGTACTCAGACCGTCCAAAACACGTACAACCAAACGAAGCAAAATCAAGCTTTCAAGTCAAAAAAATAATCTCAGCTAATATTTCAGATTCACCAGAATAATCTTTAGTAGATAATTCGGTTCATTGTCGAACAAAATTTTAAAATAAAAATACAGAAAAAGCTCTGACTGACAAAATTTTCAATTTTGTGAAAAACTATTACTTAGAAGTGATGTTGCAAAGAAAAAATTAATTTTAATTAATGAATTTTGTAAAACTAACGCCCTCTACTGGATTTCAAGATCAACCCTCAGACATTGAAGTTTTGTACCTACGCTGATAGAAGTCAAAAAGAAGCAAGAAAGCGGCAAAAAAGCTTAAAATTGCCCAAAAAACACAATTTTCATGAATTAGTTGGAATGTAAAAAACCAAAAGCAATCAAAAGTACTAATAAAAAAAGCAATCACAATTACTAAAGAAAATCAATCACAATTACCTAGCTTTGAAAGTATAAAGCATGATTGCGTTTAAATTGAGCATTTCAAAAGTTTCGCGAGCAATTTAAAGATCAAAATTTCAAAAAAAGAGCGTATGATTTTGATGATAAACGAAAATTTTTTTCTTGGGTTCATTTAATGAATCATAAAAAGCTTCAAGGTTTTAAATTTTTAATAAATCAAGATCAAAGCAAATGCTATTATATAAAATTAATTTATAGTATGCAATAAAAGGCCACTAAAAGGCGGTAGTAATATTTGCGATATCGGTTGTGCGTGAACAAATTAATTACACGGCTTTAAAAAAATCAACAAGATCTGAAAAAAAGTTTTCACTGCGTTTATCGACTCCTAAAAGGTAAATAAAAGTAATATCAATTTTAGACGAGTTTTATCATTAGTCGCAAAAGTAATATCATTTTAATGAGAAATTTTCACTACGAGATTTAAATTTAACGGACTTGCTTGCTTGTGTTGCCCGAGCAGACTCATAATTATCTTCTTGGACTTCCTTGCATACGATGCGCTGCATGAATAAATCTTTTCAACTGATTTTGGGTATTTTTCTTATGAGGTAGCGAAAGAGCAATTTAATAATATGGACCAAGTTAACATCCTTCCTCAAAAAAATTGTCTCAGCTAATCAGTCGAGCATTTTACATGCAGCGCTTAGCAAAGCTAATGCGAAGTAAACGCTGGGGTGACAGGTCTTAACTTGGTCTATCTGGGAGGGGGGAGGATTTTAACTTGATCCAATAAAATTCCGATGTACATAAATTATATGCAGCGTAGTCACTGCGAAATAGTTGCTTATTTTTTGCACTAAATTTTGCAATTAACTATGGAAAAACACGCTTTGAAGCTCGCTTACTACTGAATATAGAGCGATATAGCTCAAACTTAAAGATGGTTGGCTAGGACGCTCCAAACACAGTTAATTTCTATGGCATTGGTTTAATTATGTGAATAGGCAACTCAAGCTAAGAAAAAAGTGTGCCTAAATCAAAAGGAAATTTTTTCAAATAAGTGTTTAAAAAACAATGAAAAATGGAATTCACGTAATTTTTTTTGCATCAAAAGTATTTCTGAGAGGTAAAAACATCTACAGCAAATTCCTGTCATTGAGCGCAGACTTTTCTCAATAACAAAAAATCAGTACAACATTCTCAGTAAAAACGAACAAGTGATCAATCTGCCCTCTAAATCATTTTAGGGGAGAAATCGTTCACTTGGTTAAAAGCAAATACTTTTCAGCGCATCAAATTTGAGCATAGTACGAGCAGGCCTTACAGCTGCAACTGGCCACTCAATTTAATGTGGGGCAGATTGTTCAATTGGTATATATAGGGGATGTAGGGGGGATTATTCACATGGGGCCGTTAACTCCTTATGACGCAGGGTTTAAAAATAACTTTAAATAGTTTAAATTGCACTGATATTGCGTGAATAATGATACATTGATTTACAGAGCGAACTGCTATTATACATTCAACATTTAATGTCAAACTTATATACTTTTGGCAGCATAATGATGATAGACATTTAAAATTGATTACGAAAAGAAATTCAAAGTTCTATCAAGTTCGACAATTTTCAGCCGTAGAACACTTTGATTACATCTTTAATCGGTCTTCTGCAAATTGGACACTGGTGCTTAAGTCTTAACAAATCATGAGCACAGCTGTAACACAAACAGCAATGTCCGCAATCGTAGATAACTGTATCACTGTTGAAATGCATGCAAACTGCACATTCTGTGTTTAGGCTGTCTGAATCGTCTGTCTCTTTAACTGCTTCTATTGTTGACGAATTAGGTTCAGAATTAAGTTCACCAGCAGAGGTCAAAGTTTGTCCAGTTCCTGTAGGCGAACAGAGGGCAGCATCCGTTTCTGGTCGCAACTGAGAAGTCATTCCTATAAGACCCACATTTCGCAGATGTTCAATTTCAGATTTTCGATATTTATACGAGAAAAATTACGATCTTTTTTTCATTGCATATCTGGTCAAAATATTGTTTTAACTTTTGGCTTAAGAATTTTGACTAAGCTCACAAGCAACCAACTTGATAATGGGTGTACCTAAGAAAGGTTTTTCAAAAATTTAATTTTTTTTGGTCGGCTAACCCCAATTTATGCAAAACGTCTGCACTGCAGTCAAACTTTTACAATATTGAATTTCCAATAAACCGTCATTATTTGTTACACTCGACACCGCAGAGAAATTCTTTGTGAACTAAATAAATTAATTTTTATGATATTTCCCAGCTTGGAGAAACGAGATTGCAAAACAAACTATTTAAGAAAACTAACCTATCAATGCCACTGAATTCGTCTTTCCGAACAAGTCGATCAACAGCCACAGTTGTCCCGTAGAAGGAGTGACGTCACAGAGTTTTGTCCAACCAGAGTTCCGTTGATTTGCATCCTCGGTGCAAACAGCCGACACTCTTTTTGGTCGAATTATATTATACATGACTACTCTTTGATTCGTTCTTTTTGATAATTTAGTCACAAAAACAGCAACAACGTCGCCAATATTACACGTTTGAACGACTTGACGAACGTCCCAAAATTCAGTTTCTCGCGCACATGCAAAATCAATCGAATCTGCAGGCCATGGATTTGGTTTTTCAGCCAGGGTTTTGGGGTTCAAATCTGTAACTCCGAGTCTCAAATTGCCCAGACATCGTTCCGACTTCTCCGCGATTGTGAACAAATACGTCGTGTTGCACAACAAAGGTGAATTTATAAACACTAAACCGTTATGGTATGAATCTGGGTCACGTAAAGCAACGGTCGAGCATTGCGATAAAGTGACCTTTGACCCACAAGTGGGGTGGAAATAGATATCAAAAAGGTCATTCGGTAAAATGAGACTAGACCCTAATCGAATGAGGAGGTTGTTAGCAAATAAAGCGGCCGCGTTTGATATGTGTTCAATTTGGTGTTGGTCACTGTTGTCTAAAGAGTGATGATGATGGCTTGTAGCTAGAGGGTGAAAAGGTGATTGGTCGCAGACGTTTCTTGGCCCTACAAACATGATTCAAAATAAACTTAGGGCTTTAGATCCGATCCTTTATTTATAAGGAAAAAAATTTGACAAGTTGTTCAAAAAATCATTCGCTACATAGAATTTAGCTTCTATGACCGGTTTAGTTATTTAACGAGCGTTAACCCAAATAAGGAACTTTTTAAGCATCACTATTCATAATTTTTTCGTGTTGAGAACATTTTATCTTGATTAGAGTTTTTCTTGCAATCAACTTTCAATTTTTTTATTCCTTTAAGTAAAAAAACAAACGTTTACCTGGGTTTGGCAAAATTTCAACCTCGGTGCAATTTCCATACACATCAAAAACCGCCCACAGATAGTCTCCAATCGGAAGTTTCTCCAGGAACACTCGACACGCTTCCCTCCCAGGCACGTGCGAATTGACCGTATACTTCGCAAGCCCAGTCGAATCAACCCACACATGAATTACATCACCGCTCGAAAGATTCTCATAGTCCAATGATTTAGCCCAGTATCCTTTCTTGGAACAGAGATCCGGAACCAGAGATTTGGGGAGTGATTTTGGATTGAGCCTTGAAGGGTCTCTGGACGTGAATCCGACTCTAAGATAGCCACTCCATTGGGTGGCGACTTTGTTCAGCTTTATCGTGACTCCAAATGCGTTCACAGGTTGTTCAGTGAATACAATTGCGTTGCAGAAGTTGCCTGGTAGCCGACGGGCTACTAAGCAGTTTTTAGACAGCTGCAGATTTCTACCGTGGTTCGGACTGAAGGTTAGCGAGTCCACGTAGGCACTCGTGTCGTTGTCTTCAATTGCGTCTAAAATCGGGAAAAAATTACTTTGTTGCGCCCAAAAAATAAGGAAAGTAACAGAAGCATTATGCTTCTGGTGGCAAAGTCAGTTTTCAGCCCAAAACCAACCGTGAGTTGTAGCCTTCGTCCAATATCAATTACATCATTTCTATTCCTGACATAATTTAGTTTTTAGCCTATTTGAAGAAGTGTGGGCCCCAATAACACTTAATTTACGAAACAAAAAGCAAGATTATTATTTATATTCCCGAACTCTACTTCTAAACTCTATTTATTATTTATATGGTTGCAACTGCAAATTTAAATAAATTATTTTTTTCTCTATTTTAATGAAAAAAAAAACATACCCGATTCGTCCAAATCGAAGGTTGAAGATAACGAACTGTGCAAAGCTCCACCCATTTTAATTAATATTTATCGCCAGAAAAAAACCAGCCGATTAATTTGTCTAGGTAATACCATTAATCTCTGAAATAAGAATCAGTTTTCCAGGTACCCGTACTTGAATGAACAATCATAAGCCTTTAAAACTCATTCAATCGGTAGCAGATATTGACGTAATCCACTTGAAATTACGTAAGTATGAGGAGGTTTACTTTACAGATGACTGCTTTTATACCTTCTGAACTGCGGTGAATTACAGACTGAGCAAAAGTGAAAGAATTGTATAACAGATGCCGATTTTTTTTGTCTACCAGAAGGAAGCAAAAATTGAAATTAGCTACTGTTTGTTTGAAATTTAAGTAGAACTTTCAAAAATCAACATCTTATACTTCAAAAAAAATGATGATCGAGAAAAAAACTTCAACTCGTTAAAATGATGAATTAATGGCTGAATTTATCAAGCTCAAAACTAAAGCAATTTTTCGGAAGAAAAATCCTCAAATCCATAAAACTTCAAAGCCATTTAGATTTGCGCAAGCACTCAACTTTTCTGCCGTGCTGTTCAATAAAAAGACTTCTCTGTATGGTATGACTTGAAAGGGAAATGAAGGAAGAAGAGTCAAGATTAGATTGCACTTACATTGGGCGAATGTAAAGAAATTTTGCCCAAAATGCCGATTATTTCCTGCTTCCTTTAATCCAATTTGCCTTTTCATTTCCTGGCCCGCTCATTATCTTGAACAATTTCTACGTCACACTTTAAACCAAAATTTATCTGCCCTTTTTTCGAATAAAAAAGGAACTCGCATGAAAATTGGATCGAAGCAAAATAAATTTTTCAAAACTTGTAAAGTGGATTTGTCTCTAAAGAGTGCATTAGACAAGGTCAAAACATAAATGATGAAATTCAAGCAATCGGAGAGTTTTAATGATTGAAAAACACGTTGAATGATTCTAAATAAGGATAGCAGATTGATTTTTTTCGGCTGACTGAACGGTTAAGCTACTAACCAACTATAAAATATGACGTTTACAAAAAAAAATGTTCCTCTTTTCCTATCTTAATGACAAGAAGTGAATTAAAAACAAAAATGAACTAAAATGTTGAGATTGCTCTAGGGTTAAAATGACAGAATTGTCATGTTTAACAAACTGCTGCTCCTGATTAAAACCTGGTCAGGAAAAACAATTGATAGAACCAGTAGGAGATTTGACAAGCTAACGAACCCCACAAAAAGCCATTTCTTCATTTTCACTTTCAATGAAGTTAAAAATCGGTCAACTGACAAAGTACCCCATACCATTTTACCCCAAACTAAAACATCACACCAGAAGAAATATCATACGTTACAAGGGTCTAAGTAAAAAAAATACCCAAAAAGTGATTTAAAGTTTTTTTTGAAAAGGCGAAGCACAAAGCCCACAAGAAGATTAGCCTTCGTTTAAAATCTGCCATAAATTATCCACGAGATAATTTCATCCATAAAAGAAATCAAAAAGGTTCTATAATGTTTGATACTCAATTGCCGTTAAATTCCGCCAAAATGAGATGGAAGTTTCTGATCAAAGAAATCAACGTAACAAATCGTATCAACGTACGAACCGCTACTCGTTTGAAATATAGCTTTTTTAAAAAAAATTATCGGACTTAAATTTCCGAAATATTTTAGACCTACAAAATTAAACTAAGTCGAAACACTTCTTCGTATAGTTTCGCGTTTGCCTTTAGTCGGCAATTGGATGTTTTTTTTTCTAAAAAATTACATTACATGGCAAATCGTTGTTGAATGAAAAGGTTTCTTCAATTGTGCCCTTGAAATAAAGCAAAAACGAAACTCTCCGAAAAGCGCAATCGTTAAGCATTACCCTTTTGTCAGTTCAAATGCAGTTTTGAAAGTTCGATTGCAATTTTAACGCCATTTTACTGTCTCAAGGTCAGAATTATTTCAAAAATTTGTTAAAAGCTACAATGCTGATTTGAATTAACCGGACAAAACGCGTTTAACTTGAAAATTAAAACGCGTTTTTCTCAAATTGGGTTGAGTTTAGGTGAAAACATATGACGACAAAGATTGCTTAAAATTTTAGCAGAATTAATATGGTGTAATTTTTTTTTGCGAAATTAGGGCCCAAAATTTTACCTCAAAAATTAGTCATTTTGGCTTTTCTTATTAGTTAATCAAAAATTACGCCAAAATTAACCAGTCGATCGCAGCCATAACTATATCAAAATGACCCCCTTACGTAGCCCAACAAACTTTAAGAAGGGTATATTCTCCAAAAAAAAATTACAAACCGTTTAAAAACTGTTTTTAAATAAATAGTTGGTATTTTATATAGTAAAAACGACCTTTTTTGTCTATCAAACAAAATAAGTTAACTTATACAATGTTTTGGAGAATATACCCTTCTTAAAGTTTGTTGGGCTACTTAAGAAGCTCACTCTGATGTACTTATGTTAGTGATCGACTGGGTATTTTTGGCGTAATTTTTAATTAACTAAGAAAAGCCAAAATGACCCATTTTTGGGGTAAAATTTTGGGCCCTAATTTCGCAAAATAAATTACACCACATTAACTCTGCTAAAATTTTAAGCAAGTTATGTCTTCATAAGTTTTCACCTAAACTCAACCCAATTTGAGAAAAACGCGTTTTAAATTTCAAGCTAACCGCGTTTTGTCCGGTTAATTTAAATCAGCATTGTAGCTTTTAACAAATTTTTAGGACAACGTCCTCAATTTTGAAAAATTCTGACCTTGAATCTTATTAAAAATTAACATCATCGAAGTAGTTCAAATTCTCGATTTCTCGAAGAAGTCGATTAATAACATAACAATCGACTGATAATTATATCACAATACGTTCATATTTTAGATTTAGACAAGGGGAAGCAAGAGAAAGAAAAAAAAGCTTACAAATACAGTTTTTCGGAATGTTTTAAAAATAGCAGAACACTTGAAATAGCTCGGAAACTATTAAACATTTTGGACGAAAACTATGAACACCAATGTGGTAGCACCTATGCTAAGGTAATGAAACACAGATTTAAAAAAGCACCAAATATTTGATTCACAAGTTCGATCTTCTCACTCAATTCATCATTTTTTGGCAAAGTCCAAAATTTGATGGAAACAACTTGCTTCCGCTTATCATAATTGACCGCTTATAGCGCTCCCTAACAAAATGCGATCAAACATTAATTTTAAAAAAGATTTCAAAGGTTTCACAGAAAAACAAGTGATCAGCAATGGTCCTATAAGTGGATTGAAGAGCTTAAGCTCTATTTAGAAAGTCAGTTTAAAGTAGGCTAATGATTAATCGGAAACTGGGTTTGAAAAGGTCATACTTAAAGAGTCACGGAAGCCGAAAGATTTTTTTCTATAACTTGCTAATGCTATTGTTATTGATTCCAAAAAATAGCATTTAAAATTTCTTTTGCACCAAGTAAATAAGGTCGAAGGCAAAACAGATGTACGTGCATCCATACATCAACAGTCCGTACTAAAAACTTAGTTGTATATTGTAGGAATAGTAACTAAGACTTACATCAACATAGCCAACTAACAGGTGGAAAAGAGTAACGAACACAAGAATACTAAAAAAAACTGAGTTGTTTTTTCAAGAGCCTTCAACTTTTGAATTTCGAATAAAAAAATTAGATGGCCTTAAAGCTCTTAGAATTTGTAAAACAATTTATGATGGACACTTATTAGTTGAAAATGACTCAATTAGAGAAAAATGAGAAAATTTAGAGAAAACTTTTACTTCGCTGGGAAATCTGATAACTAAATTCCAATTTCGAAATCAGAAGTCGATCACGTTTATCGTGACCTTTACAATTATGCTGTTCGATAGTGGAAATTGCCCTCCTTTTAACAATGGGAATGCACTGAACTTGAAAAGAAATCACAAGTCAAACCGCGACAAATCAAAACCACGTCAACAAATTTTTATACTTCCTGAAAAAAAATCAGTAAGACCTATATAAGTCTTCATTACGTTCTTTACTCTTAATAAGGGACAAAATGACCAGTTTTGATATATAACAACACAGTGGTGCCCTTATTTATTAATGTTCTCATATTATCTCAAAACGACAAAAAAATTATCGAATAATTCACCTAAACATTAGCTGGAAAACTGAGGTGTAAAAATAAGGATTATTGTAAATAAGCACTGTTTTTCGATAAGGAGTAAGCACTGTAGTTTTATCACTATTTAGAGTTAACTACAAAAAGAGCCATATATTTGTTGAACACAATTTTTTGAAAATCTGGCAGGACGCCATTTCCAGACAGTATCTGTATCGTCTGCAAAAAAACATCAGAGATTTGAGAGACTAGCGGCATGTCAATCACATTAACACGAAAAAATGTTGGAAAACTGAAGTTTGTGGAACAACACCATTAACAGGTTACATGTTCGAGATCGTATAGTAAACTGAAACATCTTGAAACATAACCAACAAACAGCTTTGAAACCATTTTTTGAAATAAAAATCGTAACATCATATAAATCTAACGCCTTGACAAGTATATTGTGGTCATGAGTATCAAGAATCATATTTAATTTGATGAAAAAATCAGGTTTTTCAAACTGATAAGCTCAGCCAATTTTGCTAG